GTGGCTCTTGTCGCACTTGCCACAAGTCCGGCCCTTCTGGTTCCCAGATCTCGAATCAGCGGGTTTGGCCCACTTGGCTACCGGCTGAGACTGAGTCCGCCGCCGATCCTTTCCCTGAGACTCAGCCTCCTCCCTGGCTTGGGTCTCCAGCTCCATCTCCCTCTTCCGGGCATTTGCCTGAAGCTCGGCAAATGTCCGGTACATCGAGTTCGCCACGAACTCATGTATATCCCTCCTCAGAATGCTCAAATATCGGCTCATACGTGCCTGCTCGGAGGACATGTGCTCTGGGCAGAACATCGCCCGCTCATGGAACATCCTCGTAATCACCGTAACAGACTCAGTACCTTGCTTGAGGGTCAGAAACTCCTGGGCCAAACACTCCCTCTCCACCTGGGGAACATACTCATCTCGGAACATAGCGGTGAACCTCTCCTAGGTCACCGCAACAAGCTCAGCAGAAGTAAAGTGCGCGGTCACAAACTTCCACCAGTCCTTTGCTCCCAAGCGAAGTTGGTTCAACGCGAACCGGACTCTCAAATGCTCTGGAAATGAGCAAGTAAAGAAACACCCCTCTATGTCTGAAATCCATCTCATCGCCGCGATCGGGTCCTGGGTCCCGTCAAACTCCGGTGGTTTTGTGTTGTTGAACTCTCGGAACAGCAACGCATCACCACCCTGCGGCCTAGTCGCAACTATATCTGTAGTGGCCGCAGCAACAACAGCCTCAGAAACAGGAGCATATCTCTCATCAAATGTCTCTATCAGCGTGGTCTAGATAGACCCGAATATCTCTGGTATCTCTGCCCTGATGTCCGCAACCACCTCCTCCTGGATGATCCTACGGATCTCCTCATCACTCGAACTGCTTGTCCCTGGTGTGTGGCGCGTCCCAACCATGATCTCCCTCTCTCTGAACTACAAGACAAGAATAAGTATCAGGGACTCACTCGAGTATGCTCACACTCGATTACTCCACCCTACTTGTCCCTTGGTACTCTGAAGATTCTTACTTGGGCTGTGCACTGACCCAGTGTCTTCAGTAGTACGGGCCCAATACTACCGTCCACACCGCATCAGCATTCACTCCAAGTCCTCCTCCCAGAGTCCCAAGTCCCAAACACTCTACTCTCTCTAATCATATGATACTAGCAAGCAGATCTCTCACACCCTCCTCGCTGCTACCTAAACACTCTAAAGTATTCCTAGCAGCAAGACTCCAAGGCTCAGGTATCATATATCAGGCCACTCTAGTCCTAATAAGAATACCTAGTCTACTCTAGCATGCATAGCTCATCATCTAACATATCACATCATAACTTATAACACTTATAGTAATGGTATTTTGGGAAATCACCGTTCGGGTGTTGGCTGTTCGTACACACAGCTCTGCTCTGTTTGTCTCTTAGGTTCTTCTTTTGAAAACTTGTTTTATTATCAAAATTACCTCAAATCCTCGTTTTGAGTTCAGATAGGCTCGAAGGTGCACCCGAATCCCTTAAACCAAGGCTCTGATACCAATTTGTAACAACGTAAAAATTAAAACAATTTTTCGCATTTTCAAACACATTTTCACAAATTCATTCATTCATAAAATGTCATAGTATCATGTATTTTGTTTCAAAAATATCACCCAAGATCAAATAAATAAAATCCCATGTGTGTGTACGAATCATGTCGGCGCCTTCTCGCGATCATCACTGGTATCTGAAACACATAACACATAACACTGTAAGCATAATTGCTTAGTGAGTTCCCCAAATTACCGTTCTAACACATAATAGCCACTCGAGGTTGTAACTCTGTTGACCCTCAGGTCTATGTGTCTCAGTGGAGCCCTCCAACCCTAACTCTCTATGGGCCCTCTAGCCCTAACTCTGTGGACCCGAAGGTCCTAACTCTGTAACTCTGAATCATGCATGGCACATATCACCATAAATCATAGCACATAAATAACATGCAATTACATTGGCATATAACTCTAAAATATTCTATCACATAACTCTGTTACCACACTAGGTAAAGTATAGTGAGAAGACTCACCTCGGGTGTCTCGTTAATCTCTGACTCGGTAACGCTGGTCTAACCTCCGCCTAATCATATAAAATAAATACTCTAATTATTACAACTCTCAGAGGCTAGACTATGTCCTCTTATGACACTCTCAGAAGGGTAAAAGACCATTTTACCCCTCTCACAACCCAAAAGCTCCACAATAGACCATACCCTAAAAGTCAACTTAAAGTCAACTTTCCGGGTTACGCTGCGCATACCGGATGTGTACGCTGGGCGTACCCGACTGCCTCTTAAGATCGGAGAACGCCGCCGCGTACTGGGATTACGCCCGGCGTACTCCCCAGCTTCAACCCTTTAACTCTTTAGGTCTTAAACAGTTAAGACTCACGTCCAAATTCTAGATCCGACCACATCTAAGCCTCTTAATCCATAAAGTTGATGACTTTATGCCTTTGTATGGCTGGATAAGTCACCAACTCTCACAATGTTCCATCCTTTAACTCTAGAAGGCTTATTACACAAGCATGACCTCAAACTAACATCCTAGATGGCAACTTTATGGTTCTAAATCACTAATATCACTGAAAAGGGAAAGATCTCGGACCATGGAGAAATTTACACTCATAAAGTCTCCACCTTTGGGGTTTAAGCCCTAGAAATGGCATATGCAACAACAATCAAAAGAAGAGGAAAGTTTTGAACTTTATACCTCCAAGTGTAGCCCTTTTCTCTGTAGATCTCAGATCCAAAATGGCACCTCAAGCTTTAGCTTCCAAGAACTCCTTTCCTTCTCCTTCACTAAGTTACTAAAGCACATAAAGCTCTAATCAACACTCTCACACACTAAGGACGATGGGGGCTCTCTTTTAGGGTTTCACTCAATGATATGGAGGCTGAGAAATGAGCCTTAGCACCCTTTAAATAGTGCACAAGATGGAATTAGGGTTTTGCACCTAGGCCGGGTATGCCCGGTGTAACTCTTGGTACGCCCAGCGTACCTTGGCGACACCGCATCCAATTTAAGCGCATGAGTACGTGCAACGTACCCCTCTGGTACGCCCAGCGTACTCACTTGCTAAAGAAAACTTCACTCAAGGACTAAATATGACCAATCCACAAAGAACAAGGATGAAAGAAGTATACCTGAATCTCAGGGCGTTACATCATTACTTGGGTTCACCGGTCATGGCATCTAGCTAATAGGAACAGTCACGCTCCAATTCACATTGATCAGTCGTGATGGAATCAAGCGAATAACAAGGGCACTCAAATTCTTAGTCGTTGACTGCCCAACTGATCACAATATCATACTAGGTCGGCCAACATTGTTTTAGCTGTAGACAATCCCGTCTATCTTTCACAGTGTTCTCAAATTTAGCATGAATGACAGATCGGCAATGGCAGTGGCAGCCAAGTTGGGCAATATATGTGACGCCCAACGGGGAATGAAACGAGAAACCCAATTACATCGGAGCGAAAGTTTCCAGAAGATGGAAAATCCATAGGAAAATGCAGCGCACGTGCTGACCCCCGGGACCATCAAAAGACAAAGAAGCGCATTCACCCAGCTCACAACACGTCTCCCCCAAGGGGAAGAAAACGTCGAACTAATGATGAATCAACCAAAGTATGGAGTGAAAATCGCAAAGTAAAAAATCGCCTACTCACAGGAAACGAGACCAGCCAGGCCCACAACCGATGGCCGAGTCGTGCCCGAACAAAGAGTGATTCGAGACTCAAATTACATTTTAGACAATGCAGAATATGGACCAAAACCCCGACGAATGAAGGAAATGGTCACCCGAAGCACCGGAGCCAGGGGAAGAGTGCAAACATCCCTATGGGATAAAACTAATAGGTGCCCCTAACACACTAAACGACACCTCAGACAATGACGAGAGATGCAAGGTTGATAGACGCACTAGACAGTGCGGGTGACACTCTCACCAGGCCACGGGTAGGCACTCCTCACAGTTGCATCCCGCATCACATCGAGAAGAAAGGAAAGTCCCGACACCTCCAGAGTATGAACTGCAATGTTTATCTCTCTCTCACGTTGGGCACCACCAACAGCGATAGGAGGGAACCCCATCAAGAAGCACTTGCCGTAGATGGAGCACAGAAAAACAGTAGAAGTGAGGTAGCTATAGCAGAACACTCAATCCAAAATAAAGCAGAGGCCTAGAACGAGGAATATGGTCGAACTTCACTCAGGATAACCATACTCCAAGTGCCAAAGCAAAGACCGGGCATGCGCCGCGACACTTAGACATTCAGGGTCTATTGTCTTAAGTCTTTCTTTCCTTTTCAATAAATAATATAATTTGAATTTCGAAAAAGCTTTCCAGAATTCTATATTGCAAAAACACAAAGCATAGAAGTTGTGCGTATTTTCCAAGTAGCAACAACGGCTGATCAACTACGTTACTTGAGCAAAATCTATGCAAGGATGCAACCATAGGTCTTAAAAGAGTCATAATGTTTACCTACAATGTGCCAATAACATCTCAGAAATAAGAATGTATAAATCAATATTAATGACATAGTACAAGGGGTTCTAAAAGATTCGTAATGTTCCCCTTGATATCATAACAATAAAAGGTCTTTAGGTGATGATCTCGGCCTATGTATTGGCAGATAAACCATACAAGTCCACAATAGTGACTAACATTTTTATGGCTTTACACAATAAGACTAACTAAGCATACAAATCAATGGATCATGGCTCAACAATAGCAGCCATACGACATCTGAAGCACACATTAGCCAATTAAAACAAACCCTAGAATAAGGGAGTGTGCTTAAAGGTACCACAAGACAAACCATAATATATATGTTAACATGCCACACCAACGTGTATGTGTACAAGAAAATGGAAGAAAACGCTTACAAGTAAAAGTACAAAACAAAATATACAGTTAGCAATGGCCAACATTCTTTACTAGACACATAGTACATATACAGGAAAACAGGTAAGACACAAATCAGCCCTCAGAGTCTGAAGAAGAACTTCCTGGATTCGACCTACCATAAAACTGGTAGAAGTTGTCATAATCCAGCTTCCCTAAGTGAAAAAGGCCCACGAAATCCATCTTATCGACCTCTTTAGCATTTCATGCAACACGACTAGGATCTGGGACTTCAGGTTTTCCAACACCTGCAAAGCAACCACACAGTTATTTCCCCCTTTCAAATCCAAGGGTCTCACATGCCTCAGGAACACCCCTGACCCTACGGGAAAATTCCACGCTCTCGATAACTTTAGCGATTATGCAGACCACCCATTTTCTAGCAGCCATTGCAGATTACCTCGAGCAACGACACCTCCAATATGGGCTCAAGCCAAGTGACGTTGACACCTTGCCAGTCTGTTCGCCATCACATCCTTCTCTCGAGTGAGGGAGCTCACCTGGTCCTCAAGTCGCTCTGACCGGTCCTCCAAAGTGGCTACTTGATACTCTAAAATAGCCTTCTCGTAGGCCATAATGTTGTTCTGATCAGCAAGAACTTGGCGACCTGCCTCTAAATCACAAACTTCCTCCCTCATGCCTGCCAAAGCACCCCACAATATTTTCCACTGCCCTTGATTCGCACCAGCACGACGAACCCGATCGGAAGCCGCAACCATAAGGGCAGAGGTCTGGGTTGTGGCTTAACAAAGGTCACCAACCATACGAGCACTTGATTGACCCACAAGCACACTCATCATGGCCGAAGGATGATCGCATCTACTCCAGTCTTGGGCGGTTGGGTCTTCCGACAGTAAGGAATCTCTAGTAACCGCCCAGCCCGGAGCGTAGGCCTCAAAAGACAAGGAGTGAGATGAAGTTCCTGTTTCATCAATCAGAGAAGGCTTCTCGCGCTGAAAAGAACCTCTAGGTGAACTTGACGCAACCCCAAACATAGAACCGTAACCATGGTTAACCAAGGGCGAACCAGCAGACGGTGAGGATGATGACTCTAGAAAACTAGGCACCACCACCACCTCTTCTAGCCCATGCACATAAAATTTACCGTTGAGAATACCCCCGATATCGCCAAGAAGCATGGCCACAGATACAGTCCTACAGGCTTTACGAGGATGAAGACCCGCATCGTCAGATTCTGTCTCCTCATCTGACGATGGCACCATACGCAAACTTCACCGTTTCCAAGTAGGAGCACTACCTCTTCCTGCTTGTACCCCCATGGGAAAACCAGAAGGAATAGAAACCGGCGAGCAAATTGGGAAGCGACCCCAACGGTTGGTTGGGAAGGCGACACAGGCCCGCTAGAACCTACAATTTCTCCTTCCACCAAGGGAAGTCCAGAAAGCTCTTGCATGCACCTTTCAGGCACAGGAGGAGGAAGAGCCTCTATAAGATTCATCTCCCGATGGTAAATCTCACCCTGATAGTTACCATGCAGAGACATCTCCAAAGAAATCTCAGCCTCAACACATGCGAAAAAACACCAAAAGTAAGATCCCGCAAGCCAACAAGATATCTGATCCTCACTCTATCTTTCAAAAAAATGCGGGGGGTGGGGGCAGATGGAGAAGGGTTAATACCACATCTCACGACGAACATCTGCGTCATTTTCTCGCGAGCCCTCCAAGAAGCACTCATACCGGATGCTGCAAGAATGAAATCTTCCCAGTTCCTCCTAGTGATGGTAATGTTCCCCAGATGCTTGACAAGAGTCAGATTACTCCTAAACAACTTGGAGAGATGGTCATAAAATTCTCGGGTTCTACGATATCCGTGCCCTACAAGGTCTTGGTTAACCCAAAGCCAATAAAGTTGCCAATTTTTCCTTGGAACGTCTTGTTCAGAAATCAACTAGCAAATTTCTCTTCTCTTCGCTAAAGTACGGACCCCATAATTCGTAGTTGAGCAGAAGAAGTAACTGAAAACCTAGAAAGTTGGTACATAATCCAGAGATCGACAAATCAGTTCAAAACCGACGACTTTGTTAACATCGGTCGGGGACAACCCGTCGACGAAAAAGACATAGTGTTCCACAATCATGTTAAGGAAGTCGGATGTTCAAAAGCGTAATCCTGCTTCAAATAGAGGGATCAGAACCCCCACCTTATCTTGAGGGCGGCCGTAGACTGATGCCCCCTTTGCCGGAATCATCACATCGTGCTCTGGTAAGAAACCGAAGCAATCTTGCAAAAATTGGAACTCCTCAGCCGTAGGGACTTTACAATAACGGTCCATCATTGAGAAAAGGAATAACAATCAAAAAGAAAATTAATAACATACTCGAATTGATGCAGCAAAGACAGGATAGGGATATTAGGATAAAAGAGCCTGGGGAAAAGGAGGGATTTTAAATACGAAATTGGTGTCACGAACCGTCTCTAAATGGGACTGACAGACATTAACGATGCTACCTAAAGCCTGTTAAATGATAAAATCAATCCCGAACATACATGTGTTGGGACGTAGACTCGAACGACGATGCTGTCAAGCTGACGCATACGTCTACGAGTCTAAGGGACGAGTTAACGTATCCCTATGGGGAATGTTAAGAAAGAAGTCAAACTGACACCAGGCTTGGCCTAGTCAGAACCTAGTCTAAAGCTAAGTTCGAACCTTCACAAATGCGAAGAGCTCTGATATGGCGGTTAAGGTGCAGAACCGCCCCTTGACCTCTTCTTCAGGAAGTGATATGCGCATAATTAGTTAGTTATTTAGCATACATTTTTATTCATTTTTAACTAATTATGTGTATAATGTGGACAAAAGGTATTGAATAATGCTTAAATTTTGTTTTCAGTCCAAAAGACATGCTTGGGAGTAAAAGGGAACAAGGGGAAGCAATTAAAGACCAAAGAGTGAAGAATGAAGGACAAGAGCATTCCTACTCAACGAGTAATCTAGCATACTCGGCGAGTACAAGAGAATATTCCAGAAGATAAGTCAAGACTCCTGATTTGAGACAGATAACTAGCACCTACTCGGCGAGTTGGGTCTGCTACTCGCCGAGTACACCCTGTTTTGAGATAATTATAAATACCAAACCATTATCCGATTGGAAGGGACTTTTGGCGAATTTGAGAGTTGAACCTGCGACAAAGAACCCTTGGAGGAGCTAAGGAACCCTAATCTTCAATCCTTGGAAGAATCAAGGCAATTAGGTTAATCATTCCACTTAGCTTTAGGAATTAAAGATGTTTAGCTTAGTTAAATCTGCTATTGAATTTGTTTTTATCATGACTATGAACTAAATTCGTTTTGTTTCTGTTGGGGAAGACTAATTTACTCTTATGGTTATAATATACTTTTTGATTGATTATTATTTGGTGATTTATTAAATTAAGTTTGTTAAAGAACCTTATGCATTAATGATAACTATTTTCTGTTAATTGGAAGGTAATTAAGCTGCATGAACATCTCTTGATTATTAACCTCATATGTTATGTGAACACTTGATCATATGCTTAAGAGTAATGAATATGAAATTAAGATTAATTAGAGAATAGGTAAGTTAATGTGTGAGCTTGTTTGAGAAACCAACAAACAAGAGGTTAATTGAAACACCAACTTGATTAACCAATTACAAATCTTATTTAATCCAAATAATTGAACTAAAGAATTAGTTAGTTTAAACAATTGGCCACTGCTTGAATTGATTAATTGTCTAAGGGTTAGGAGTAATGAACATAAACCTAACCACTAAAGTTGGTAACTAATAATAAATAATTTATCATTAAAATAACCATAGGAGTGAATTAGTTGAACCTAAATAGAAACCCTTTAATAAATTTGGTGAATTTGTCATTTGCTTTAATTGTTAGTTAGTTAATTGGTTTAATTGTTATGTTTAAGTTTCTAGTCTTGTAAAACTAGAGAAAAACCTTTTTTTTTTTACTTTTATTACTTGCTTAGTTAAAATTAGTTATTAGATCAATTTCCGTTCCCTGAGTTCGACACCCTACTTATCCAACTATACCACTAAAAGACAGTTTCACTGCTTTTGTGTGCTTAATTTATTAATAAAAAGTAGGATTAAAACTAGTTCGTTTTACACACATCAGGAACTTACATCCTGCCAAACGTAGGGCTAATCAGAGAGTTCCACACACCCATTGACGATAGCCACAATCTTCACAAACATTTAGGAGATTCCCTCCTAGCCAATGAGGGAGTGAGGCAAAAGGTGTGACAACGAATCCTCCAATATGGGTCCACCATATTGCACCTCACCAGGGAATCCTCAACAGAATCGGTTGAGGGACACGCCTCTAAGACAGGTATAAAAGGATACTTCTTCCTCACAAGGAAATGGACAAAACTCTCTATTTTCTTTTTATCTTCTACCATTTTACTCAAATCTCATACTTACTTGATCGTCGGAGCTTCATCCTGGGAAATCCTCTCGGACGTCGACTAACGGTCATTTACCTTTCTTACACTGTATAACAGGAGAAGATACTCATACAGATCCCTCCCGCAGTTTCGACTCCATCCTCTTCAGTATATCATAACACTCCTAAAGCAATATTCCACCGTTTTCACCTGGAAACTGATATATCTAACAGGTGTTGATCGACCGATTATAGAACACAGTCTCATCGTCACGCCCGGAAGCAATCCGATTAAACAATAATAGAAAGGCCAGGTAGCAGAACGGGATAAGACAATAAATGCAGAAGTGGCCGATCTGGTGAACACCGACATACTCAGGGAGGTAATGTTCCCAACATGGATAGCAAACCATGTAATGGTAAAGAATGCCAATGGGTAATGGGGAATCTGCATCAATTACTCGGATATTAACAACGCCTTCCCAAAGGATTGTTATCCTCTCCCAGTGATTGATCAGAAGGTCCAATCGCTCAAAGGCTTTTAGCTCAACTGTTTCCTCGACGCATACAAGGGTTACTATCAAGTACAGATGAAGCGAGAGGACGAAGCTAAAATTGCCTTCCACACCGAAAAAGGGACCTTCTGCTACTAGAAAATGCAATTCGGTCTCAAAAACGCAGGTGCTACTTACCAAAAGCTCATGGAAAAAGTATTCGTCGATCAAATCAGTAGGAATATCGAAGTCTATGTCGATGACATGGTAATTAAGAGCCACAATGAAGAAGAACTACTCTGCGATGTGGAAGAAAATTTCCAGACGATACCCAAAGCAAAGATGAAATTAAACCCAACTAAGTGCACCTTCAGAGTTGAGGAAGGGCAATTCCTCGGGTACCATATATCCACAAAAGAAGTTTTACCCAATCCCACCAAAATCCAGGAGTTCCTCGAGTTGAAATAAACTCCTCACAACCTCAAAGGCGTGCAGAAGATCAATGATAGATTGATGGCATTTGGAAGATTCATCGCCAAATCCGCAGAAAAAGTGCTCCCTCTATACCAAACACTTAAAGGGTGCATAGATATGAAACAGTTCAAGTGGACAGAAAAAGAGGATATGGCGTTGCAATAACTCAAAGACGCCCTACAACAACCACCGTATCTCAGCTCCCCACTCCCAGGGGAGACACTACAGATGTATCTAGCCACCTCCAAAGAAGCTACTCTGTGTTAGCAGTGGAAAGGGAAGGCAAGCAGGTTCCCATCCATTTCATTAGCAGGGACCTACAATGACTAGAGGTCAATTACCCGACCTTGGAAAAACTGGTCCTCACCCTGGTATACGCCATTAGGAGACTACAAAGGTATTTTCAAGCCCATAACGTGGATGTTCTGACCAGTTACCCAATAAAACAAGTGTTGCTAAGGCTACGTAAGTCTGGGCGCCTATCTAAGTGGTCCATAGAGCTACGTGAGCATGATATCGATTATCACCTCTAGACTAGCATCAAGGCCCACATCCTCGCAGACTTCTTGGTCGAAATTCTAGATACCATTAAGGGAGTTCCACGAACGATCTCCATTGATCCTCTCGAGCCTGAAGCTAGCAAAGAACTCTGGAAGCTGTACACCGATGGCGCGGCAAGAAAGGAAGGTTCAGGCGTAGGCCTGATCCTATAGAGCCCCAAGGGCGAAAAAATCACTTACGCATTGTGGTTTGATTTCCAGGTATCAAACAACGAGGTAGACGATGAAGCATTCTTGGCAGGTCTACGGCTAGCCAATGATGTTGGTGCGAAACATCTAGCAGATCTCAGCGACTCGCTATTTGTCA